TGTATATTTTTTTTTTTTAAATTATTTTTGTCGTACCTGAGGGGCGAGAGTACGGCGCGGTGCCGGTCCACGGCGATGGCTGTGAGGGTGAAGACGCTGACGTTGACGCTGAGCACCTGGACGAACGGGCAGAAGGGGCACATGAACTCGGGCAGGCTCCAGCGCTGCAGCAGGGCGGCCTGGAACTGAGCCAAACACAATGGTCAGCGGGGCGTCGGCAAGGCATACGCGAGGTGGCGGCGACGCCGTGGACGTCAGCAGAAATCGCCGTGTCGACGAACCTGCGTTGTCATGGTGAAATTTAACTTCGCGCGGCATTATAACCTTGCAGTAACTACCCTTAAAAGTTGTTATCCCCGGAATCATTATCGAAGGATAACATAAAGCTTTGCGTGCCGTACAATCGTGGCCTTTTTTTTTTTTGCATTAGAAGTGAGATTTTACCAAAAGACCATTACTCATGACTGTGCCCAGGGGGGTTGATATGGCCTAAGCTAGAGGCTTGTTCACCCATCTACGCTGCTTCAACGGATTGGGGATGTCTTGAGGGTCTCTGTGTAGGCGGCGGTGAGAGGCTTTTAGACTGGACCGTACTGGATTTGGTCGCCAACAGAGCGTAGGAAGTTTTTTGCTCGGATCATAGAACCATAGCAATTCACTCTCGTCTTGTCAACATCATGCACGATGCACGCAGAGCCACGATTGATTACATTTGTGCTGATTTTCAGAGTTCGTACTAAGACACTCAAGACACAAGACTCCGTAACTTTCACTGGTGAAACAAAGGTAGGATATCCTACCTTTAAAAGGCACTAAAGCTCCAAAGGCATTACCGTTTGTTTTTTCGAAATATTTCGTTCCAATGAAATGAAATTGGATTCTAAGACTTATTTTCGTAATCTACGCCAAATTCCGCGTGGAACGAGTCTACATGTGATGGGGTTCTGTTCAAAAATTGCATAAATTGATATAATTTTTTGTAATTTCTGCCTTGCTTTTCATTTGCTGACTGCTTATCAGAACCCTATCACACGTTGGCTCGTTTGACGCGGAATTTTGAGAGGAATGCGACAATGTATCCCAAAATATGATCGGTTCGCTCATTCGAAAAATATTTGGGAAAATCTGAAAATACGTACTTTAGCACCCCAAAAACAGGTGTAGCACCCCTGGAAATGTATGATATCGCACCTTTGTTTTTCCAGTGTTACCATATCACAAACAAATGCTTGTTACTCAACGTATAGCACGTAATATGACTGATTACCACGCTTTTTAAGCACTCACTTATACTTATGAATACTATTTTGATTCATTGATTTTGTTTTTCCCTTTCGCCTTCACGTTTTATTCCCTGCCTCCTCTACTCACACCTCGCACGCTATACTCCTCTGCGCTCGGGGTCAGTCCGGTCGGGTTCGTCTGCGAGCGATTCTCTCGTGGTACCGCCATGATGAAATTCCAGCTGCTGCGTGCCAATGGGCTAGGTCTCGCTGGTTGAAAAAGGCTCAGAACTTTTCTGTTAGCCCTTTTTTTGTACAATTTTCTTATCCTTTGACAATTTTTGCACATTTGGTTTTATTTGGCAAACTGTACACGAAGGAAAAAGACTTGCACAGCTTAACTCGTTGCTAAATTATTATCAGTTTTTTTTTTCTTTTGCTACGCGTGAGCAAAAAAAATATTGCTGTCGTAGTACTGAATTCGCCAGGACTGCTTGGACTGCAAACGGCTTTGCGGGAGCAGCTGAATCCGCTGAATCGATTTGCTCTCAAAGCTACAATTTTTTCTGCCGTAACAAAACAAAACTGCTAATTTCTCAACTCACCAAACGATTCAAGCTGAGACAGCGAGTCTTTTTTTCTCCGTGTAGGCGAATAGAAGCTGGAATGGCCAGTCTTATTTCTGATGATCACTCCCTGCTTTCATCCTCTGGCCCGCACCGCAGCTACCGCCACCACGACCACCACAACAGAGATGTTGGGATCCCGGTGAGATATGGGGTGGGAATGTGGTAAAGGGGAAAGAAGGGTCGGGGAGGGGGGGGGGCAGAAGGAAGATATCGCCGACCGGGTCAGTGATGTATTAGGGGATGGTTGTCACCCGGTGCGCCCCGACTTGGCTCTGGGTCCCTAACGACCGTTGAATTGGCAAGAGAGAGGGGTGAAGAGGAATTGGAAGGGGGGAGGGGTTGAAAGGAAACTTATCCAAGCGTGAAGGAACAGTTGGCAGTCATGCCAATAAGTCGTGGCCATATCACTTCCTCATTCGTCGTTACGTTGACAGTGTGTTTTTATTGCCGCTAAATGGATCAAACATTTGCTTGCTGCTCCCACCCACATTCCTAATACCGATCGCATCGCCATCGAATGGATTGCCAGGCGGTGCCGCTTGGAGCCACTTGGTGCCCCTCAGTGCCGGTCCTGCCAGCGGCGTAAACTGATCGGCAGCGTGCCGGATGTGAAAGGAACCAAAGGGGAAAGGCGTCGCACAGGGAAGCTTTGTCCCCGGAGCCTTATGGCCGTGTCGCGGACCTTTATTGCCTCTGTCCCCTCTCCTCCCGGCTGCATCCTCTCTCCGCCGAGAGCGCCTGTGATCGCAGACATAGGCAGCCAGCACGGCCGGCCTGCGCTGCGGGCCTGGCGGGCGGCATGCGCGCCCCTGCCTCGGCCCGCGAGCTGGGCTGGGCGGCTCAGCCTTCTTCTCTCCCCCTCTCCCTCCCCTAACCTCTTCCCCTCTTCCCCCTCCCCGCTTCCTCTGCCCCTCCCCCCTCTCCCTCCCTCTCTTCCTCCCCAACTACCGCTCCCCCTCACCTTTTCACTCTTTCTCCGTCCTGCTCTGCCGCCGGTACTGGTATGAAGTTGCTGAAGTGGGCCCAGCTGGACCGCTCGCCGCCGCTTGCAGTGCCCGCCTAACACGGCGGGCGGCAGCAGGCACAGTTCGACCGGCCGGGGAGGCAGGCGGAGGCAATATTTCACTCTCTCCTTATCCTTTGACAGGCCCGCGGCCCTGGTTGCGAAGGCAACAACTTTATTCCAGACGCTCGCGGGGCAGCATCAAATACTTTGCAACACACCCTGCCTGCATTCCCTGCTGGGCTCGCGCCCGGGGGTTGCCGGGGGCCGGCTTGCGCTGCTGGCCTCGACCTTGCGCGGCGGGCTCCGCCGCGGGCGTGTCTCCCCCTTTCTCTCTCTCTCTCTCTCTCTCTCCCTCTGTGATGTGCGCCCGGCTCACACAATGCGGATGCGTTTTTTGTCAGCGTGCATGTTCCCTTCCCCCCTTTCTGCGGCGAGGAGGCGGCTGCCGGCGGCCCGTCCCGTCGAGTAGCGGGAGGCAGCGTGTGATCGTGTGGAGGACCCAGCTCCACCCGCTGCTTCGCATCCCAAATGGGGAGCGAGGGGGAAAGAAAAATAATATACAGAGCGCTATTGTGTTGCTGCTTGTGCGCACTCGCCCTCCCTCGCTCCGTGGGCAGTCTGCTCTCAATGGCTTAATGTTTTTGTGACTACAGCAACCCCGGCAGCTCCCCCCGCGCCCCCTTCTCTTCCCAACTCCTCGCGGAAGTCACGGTCACCGGAGCAAGGACGAGCGTGGGCCACTGTGAGGGGGAGGGCAGTCCAGAGGCGTTGGCGCTCTCATCACTGAAAAGTCTGGGTTAATCTGTTACATATTTTGTATTTTCGATTATTTACAAAATATGTTGTAAATGTACAACATCACTTTGTTGCTCGTTAATGAATTTAGTCGATACTCTTGTAATTTTACAGTCTCGAATTGTAAACTTACTACGCACATCAAGTTTCCCTGCAACCGTTACAAGTTCTTCTGACAGTGAAGCGGGTATGACAATGTTTCGGACGCTTCGTGAAGACAACTTCTGTCTGTTGCTCACTTATTGGGTCTCTTAGCGCGACTGCTTTTAAAGTTGACGGGGGTTCCAACAAGTATAGATGAAGAGAGGGGTGCGGCGAGCGTGAAAAAGGGATGGAACGCGTACTGGCAGCGCGGGGTTGCGGAATGCACGGATGTACAAAGTAGCTGTGCGCGCGGCAGGCCGCTGGAGAGGGAAGGGCTTTGGATAACTTCGCAAAGCGGAACACCCCTTTCTGTTTCGAGAGTAGGTCGATTTTCATGAAACACCCAGCAAACCGTTTAGTCCAGAGGACCAAATTTAAAACCGATGAAATTTTAGCTCTGGAGACCAAAATTTATCCGTGGCGATGGAATAATTTAGTCCAGCTGACTTAATTTGATTGGTGCGACCATATTTAGTGAGAAATGGGGTTACTAAATTTTAGTCGGTTTTGGGAACTAAATTTTGTTTCTTATCAACCCTGATTTAGTTTTATCAACTAAATGGTTCTCTGGGTGAACAATCGGATAACGATTG